CTGGAATCAAAGCTCGGAGGTCTGAAAATCAAGCAAGAGGAGGAATAGGAAGAGGTAACATGAGGCGATGCTTTTGTTGCTATGTAGTTAGGTTCTGTTTCATCTCTCTCTATGGTAAACGTATCTAAGTAGGTATGTACGGATCTAAGACTGTCTTCAGATCTATTTCCTTGAAACTAAATTGTTATCTTCATTTAAACTAGAATTGGTGTTTCTCTGTTGGCTATGAATTTAAATGATCTTTTAGCTGAAATCATGTTCATCTCGTATGAACTGGGGTAAAAAAAAGACCACAGGGTAGCATTATAAGTTACAAAAGAAGAAATTTATGGCCTTTTTGATTAAGCAGCCATTGGAGTTTTGAGGGCTTCGAGTATCTTATCATCTAACTCGAACTTCATCTCCTTCTTGTCCCTGCCAATCTTCGCATACTCTTCAAATCTCTCCTTAAGATCTTCAGGTAGATTAGTTTTACTTTCCCACCCTAGTATCTCCTTTGCTGCTCTTGGCTCCGCGTAGAAATGCTGTGATCATACAAGACTAGGTTATAAAACTAATCAGTGAAGGAGAAGAGGGAGCTCTTTATATTAGGTTTATAGTTTACCATGTTTCTGAATGGAAAAGCCTTCTTGGCGTCGACCCCAATGGCTTTAGGGTCATAATGAACGATCTCAACCGTTTTGCCAGCAGCTGCAGCACAGAGCTTGGCCATACCGTCAAGAGTGACAGCTCTGTCACTAACGCAGTTGAAGATATTGGAGCTCGCAGCCTCGGGGTTGTTTACGGCTGAAGTCAGCATAGAAGACAAGTCCCTCACATGAGATATGTTGGTTAGCTGCAATCCTGATCCTGGGATTGGCACAGCTCTGTCCCTCACAATCCCTGTGACACACATTTTACTACCATTACACTTGTTTCGTCTTATGTTCAAATAGGCAGAATTGCAGAAGACTTACGGTCGAAGAACCATTCTTCGCAGTCTTTGTTGTTGCCAGAACCGATCATGTACTGTGGTCGAAACGAAGCCCAATTCCCGAATGTTTCTGCTAAGTACTTCTCCACTACAACGTGACCTGCGTCGGCTTTCACTGCGTCCTGTACATTGGAGAAGAAGAAGAAGACATAAGTAGTGGTGAGAAATGAGAAAGTTTAGATTTTTTGGTTTATTACCCCTTCGACGTGAGGAGGTTCTTCAGTGGACTTGTAGATCCCGGCGCTGCTTATGAACAAGAATTGCTTCACACCGGAGCTTTTAGCCCAATCTATCACTGGTCTGTTCCCACAAAACCAAAAGGAAACTGATCATCAATTCTCTCATCCATGGAGAAATTCTTTTGAAAAAAAAACATTGCTTTGTGATTAATAAACAGACCTAACAGTGTCCAAATCCTTGCCATTGTTGTCAAGCACAACGTCGAATGTATCACTTCCGACCACATTGGCTACATCGGCCGGGTTTCCCCACACCGTCTTTCCTCCGCCGCTAACAATTTCCTGCAGAAGAGAGGATTGAATTCGTTGGTCGGAATTCGGAAACTCAAAAATTGTTGGGAATTCGAAATCTTACGGAGAATCGGTTGAAAGGAGGTTTCTTCATCTTGTCGGAAGATTCATCTCCGACGGTCATGATGGTGACACCGTGGCCGGAGGAGAGAAGCTCTTTGGCGAAGTAAAATCCGATGACTGCGTGACCGCCACTGTTGGTGTTGACTATAAGTACATTCTTCTTCTCTGCGACGGAGCTGGCCTTAACGGTGAATCCTCGAGGAGATGATAACTTTGGAGAACTTCTCAGAGAGTATGT